GCGGCTCCACATCCATGGCCTGACACATGCTCGTCCCAGGACGAGTGCACAAGGTTCGCAAATGAGGCTTGAAAGATAACAGGACAACGTTTGATGTGCTGTCTGGGGTCCTTGCAGGAGGCGGCACAAAAACGGCACGGGTTCTCGGCTGGCACACCAAGGCCACTACACCGGCTCTCAGCTTCTGAGCGATGGGCGGCGTAGACACGTGCATGAGCAAGCCGCATGTGCTGCTTAAGTCCAGGCCCAATCATGTGCACATACTGCCCACACAGAACACGAAGGCTTTCATTGTACTCACACCCTCGGACCAGCTGCCGCCAGTTGTCGCGCAGTGCAGCAAGAAACTTCGGCTCTTAAGACAGTACACGTGTTGGCTGTGGTGGAGGCGGAGGTGAGACAGGATTGGATGGGCCTGGCGTCTCTCCACTTGTCGGGTTGCGACGCTCACCTGCTTCCCCGCACTCGGCTGTATGACCACAGCCCTTTCAGGAGTTGTGCGCCCTTCTCGGGACAACTCCGAGTGTGGGTTCCTGTGCCACACCCACTGAGGGGGCTGTTCCGCTACATCGGGAGGTGGCATCTGTTGTCACTTTGCCATGCAAGACTGGGCCCTCGACCCTCGTGAAGCGCTTGGAGCAGCGGCAGCATTGAGGCATACCAGTACCTGGCGGGGCTTCGTCCTGAGCTAGGAGCTGCATGAGGACTGCCTGTTGCGCAACTTGATAAGCGCCTCCGTGGGGGACCGGAGGGTAAGGTGGCTGGGGGATTTAGCGATGGCACGCAGAAACCTCGAGTCTGCTTGTGACGCCGCCCGTACATCAAGGAGCTGCGAACGCAGGCCGCATACAGTCTTACGCGGTATTTCAGCGACAGGCCTGAGGCATGAAGGATTTTAAGCAGTCGATGCTTGTTCGAGCGGGCCATTTGCAACCTATGCTGAAAAGTCTGCATCTCAAACCCATGGTATGACGCAAATACCCCCAGGTACAGCATCTTGTTAGCCCTAGGTACCAGTAAGTACAGTGGGTTATGTGGCGTTCCTACACTCATCCATTTGCCATTCGCATTAACCTGCTGGTGCCGCCGAAGCCAAGCTCCCTTGAGAGCAAGAACAATCACCGACTTGCTAGAATTTACAATCATACCAGCCTCCCTAAAACAGCAAAGGTTTCCCTAATGCAGTGACAGCAAGAGGCCAAGTCAGAAGCTTGAGTTATCTTCCAGTGCAAGTGGGTGTCATCTGCAAAAAGGGTGGTGCAGGCTTGTGCCCAGTCCCCGCTGGTGCGGGCTGCTATGCGGTGGTGCAGCCAGGCAGAGAAGATGCTGTAAAGACACGGCGAGAGCGCGCAGCCCTGCCCAAGGCCACGCTTCATCCTTATGGATCCAGCATGTCGTCCGTGCTGAATGCGATAGCGACATTTCTCACGCACCTCTAGGATGGCCGCTTGTTGCTAAGGCCAAGACTATAAGCATGATTCACCGTAACATGAAGACTGCTTCCGCCCAGCACGTTGATTGTGCACGCTAAGGGTGCCATCAAGCAGGAATTGGCGAATTTCCCGACAGTGCTCCCCAACCCTTAATATAGCCTGGTCAATGGCCTTGCCCTGACTGTTTGGGGGCAGCGCTGGAGAACCGGTACTGCCTGTTCCATAACCCTGCACTTCAAGACCGTGGCAAAAACCTTGGCACTGGGATCTTGAATGCCCAGCGGTCGGAGGTCGATTAGCAGCCTCCTGGGCCTCGTCAATGTACCTCTGTAGCCCGTCCCTCCTGGCACTACGACAACCATTCCGAAGCTTTCTACTTTTTCCATGGCCTGATCAACGCGTGCTTCAACAGAGTGTGGGAGGAGCCTTCGTTTATTCGGCACATCCCCGGTTCAACTTGGTCGCCGCCACGATCTCCACGGTCTACAATGAGGCAGCCCGCGCGGCAGGCCTCATCACGCGCATGTTCAAGGTCAAGCCAAGCCGCGATGCAGCCACTATCATGAAGATGAAGATTGACCATGACAAGGGCGCCGAAGATGACAAAAAAGCCTGCAAATGCAGGCCCAAGACCCTCGGCGTCCTCTGCAAAGTGCCCCTAGCAAGCACGTGAGAATGACCAGGAGGGTCAGGACGAAGACTGGGACTGGCAATGGCAAGCATGGTCTTGGGGAGGATACCATTCCCCCTACCCAGCGTGGCAACCATACCAAGGCCAGTGATCTGGGCAGGAACTGGGCACTCAGCCCAGTCAACCCTGCAGACTCATGACTGCATTAGGATTTGACTTTCCTTGTATATTTTTACCCTGGAGCCTGGCACCGCCACGCATGCATCTCAAGTGGCACCGCCTCGGAGACATCTCATGACTAGTTTGTTGGTCTCCTGACCTCAGTAGAGTGCAGTCGGCTCGCTGTCCGACCAATTGGAATTGATCATGATACGGCTGGCCTCTGCCGGTACCTTCAAATCCCCGCCGTCATTCCCTGACGGCCCACCGCCTGATGCAGGAGTTACCTAGTGTGGGACGCCACTAGACAGGAACTCAGGGCGGCGGCCCCTCGAGGGTACGACCCAACTGCCATCAAGTGTGTGAGCACTGGACGCAGTATGACGCAGTGGCTCACACTTTTTTTGACACTCACACTCGGACAAGCCTGGAAAGGTCTGCAGAAGTAGGTTCGACGCAACTCGTTATCAACCTAGAAGTGGTTTCACTTACCAGGGCGGCTGTCAGACACGACCGACGATAAGCCAGCACCGGCTCACACTGGAGGTTGTGTTGTGTCGTCTCTAGCAGAGTCGATCTTGCAGAGAGGTCATTTCTGAGCGAAAGATGCAGCAGTTTTTCTCGTTTCACGAGTGCATGGGAGCAAAAGCGCCCGCAAAGCGCAGAGCACGCTCGCGCAGCGTCCAATTGAAAATTTGTAGTAGTAGCAGTAGCAGTAGCAGTAGCAGTAGCAGTAGCAGTAGTAGTAGTAGTAGTAGTAGTAGTAGTAGTAGTAGCAGTAGCAGTAGCAGTAGCAGTAGCAGTAGGAGGAGTAGTAGTAGTAGTAGTAGTAGTAGTAGTAGCAGTAGCAGTAAGCACTCCGGCTCAGCTGTGGGGCGGTAGCATTTATGTCATGGAGCAAACCTTGCGGTGGAGTCCGGCTCCGAAACGTGATGATCACGTTCCTAGTAGTGCAGCGAGCCGCGCTAGTGCTACTGTTGAGGCTCGCCAGCTGGGTGCCTCTTGGCCCCAACAAAGGGCGCATGGGTCGACTGAATGCCTTTGGCCCTGGCCTGCCAACGCGTCAGTCTCTGTGCCCGACAGCCATGCCAGCACAGACTCCTGTGACCGGAGAATCGTGCGTGGGCACTGGGAACTGGGCCCGTTGCAAGTGCGTGTCTACCAGCAGCCAGGAGTTGGCGCAACTTTTCCTGCAGCTGGCGCAAGCATGACGCGGATGCCACCCGCATGCCTCCTGGGCGCGCGCCGTCAGGCCCCCATTGAGAGCACAGTGCCACACCTCCTTATAGATAGCCGGCCCAGTCCCAAGTCCGGGGTGGGATGCCGACGACTCTACTATTGCTACATTGTCAGGTGTCCCACAGTGTGAGGGTTCCAGCTCTCTCCGTTGGAGCTGGGGAAGGCAACTTCCTTGCCTATCCGCGACGACTTCAAGTGCCGAAGCGCAACGGAGTACAGGTCACAAATGGGAAGCAGGAACCTACTCATCAGTGGAATCGATGTGTCAAGAGATCTTTTGTGCGAGCTTGCAATAGAGCTATTCGACATGGCCAAGCACAACCTTTGTACCTGTGTACAGTTCGTTTCCTTCAGGTACCCGAGGAGTGTGTAGCTGCAGATCATCGCTGCCTCGTCCCGAATGCTGACCGAAAGCCGGCGGCCTACCCCATCCTGGGATGGGATGGCCCGCACTGGGTCCCGGCCCCACGTATGCTTCGAGATGTGGGCTGGATTCTGGCTACGCCCCTCCAGGTCACAGTTAGTATGTGCTGTGTTCTGGCGATGATCTGCGGCCAAACCTCCCTTTGGTCCTGAACTACACGGTTCTTACCGTGCCCTCCAAGGTCACAAGACCACAGGGTGCTGAACGTGGTCCTCAGTGATCCTCAGTGTGCCCTCCTGGGCCAGAGGAGCACGAGGAAGTCGGAGACAGGTGCTTTCAAAGGAACAGACCTAGAAGGAAACCACCCAACCCACCGGTACATGCGACCGCTAAGGGCCCCGGACTTTCAAACATGGGCCGTTCAAACTGCGCGGCTTTCGAGAATCTCATGCTGCATCAACAAGTAGCACTCCGAATGCTAATTAAAAGCATTCATGTTGCCTGAAGATCTCAGATTCATGTAGTGCTTCTGAAGCTTCGGATGGAAAGTACCATTCATACTGCTCATGATACTAACACTACTCGAAATCCTGACACTACGTACTGCCTACGGGTACGGCTAGATAATGCGCTGCTGTCGATTGTTGAACTAATTTTCAATGCTGGCATGACACCAAGCACCTTTTAGAGAAACCTAATGATCAACGCAAGATGCCATAACAGATGGCTGTAGCGATGTCAATAGCTCTACGACCTTTTTTCACGCTTTACGTCCTCGCTTTCTACTTATCTGGTTTTGCACTCTGTTGATCGAGTGAAGGGTGCACTGGTGCACGGTTCTCTAGACAAGTTGAGTAGGTCGCAAGTTTGCAGCTATTCGTAGCGGGACTTGCCCATGTGGTTCTAGTGCTCTTGAAGCACCGGCGCAATGCACTGCCACGTACCTGACGCTAAGCTGAGCGACCGGCTGCGATTGGAATGAAAAATAGCAGTAGCAGTAGTAGTTGTAGTTGCTTGCTTCCGCGTGTTGTCACTGTTTTCTTTTGCTTGTTACGGCATTTATCTCTGGGCATTCTATACATTAGTCCCGCGAGGTACTCATCCGTTTCTGCATGCGCGCTCGTGGCTTCTAGTGGGTGTTTCAAGAGCATAGAGCTTGCCGACTGCAACACGCCTTGCAAGAGGTGCTTCCCCCTGAACTTCTCCGGTGCAAGCGATCCTCGCAATTGGGTAGAGTAACTGGAGTAACTACTCGCCAGCAAGAAAAAGGCTCGACAAAATTCCGCAGCTTCCTGCGCGGTTTGCAGAGCCAGAACCTCAGATGCACGGCATCCGCTCACTAGAGTTCGACAGGCTCAGCTCCTTTCGCACAGGATTCAGCAATCGAAATGTTCCGGGGTCCATTTTTGCAAACATGCAAACATTAAAATCAGGTCTGGGCGACAAGTATGTGGTAAGGTCACCTCTTAATGTCTCAAAATCTAATTTGATATCTTTTACCGCATGGGCCGCATGGGGCAATGCTGTCGCCGCCCATGGTAAACAGGCACTGCGTGTGTAGCGCCATGACGATTCTTGCTCGGATTTGAAACCCCGGCTTGTTCACGTCCGGTCAGCGCGATGCAGCTTGTCTTTATCCTCCGGTCAGCACGGTCCGTTACTAATTCCACTTGGCTTCACGTTGGCCTCGAACTGCCCTCTCGGTGACGACGGCATCCGTTGATTTACAACAAATGCCCGAGTCCCGCCAGAACTTTGGGGACGGGTTTTGGTCGTGTCTCTGAATCCCGTCAGTACGTAGGGATGCATGTTGGCCGTTCTCCTGAATCCCTTGTGAATCTGCCAAGTACATTGAGGGGGGACTTCGAACCGCACAGAATCATGCTGCAGTGTGTCGCCAGGCTGGCTGTAGCTTCGAAATGCATGAAATCCCGACAGTGCTTGGGTGAAATGCTTCGGTCGTGTCTCAAGCATTTTGGTCATGTCTCTGAATCCACCGGTACACGACGGAAAGCATTTTGGCCGTGGTCGTGCTTTGGTCGAGGGTCTGTAAAAGTACCTATGGAAGACTATGGAAGGGTCGATAGATAGGTTTAGGGAAGGGTTGATATGGGTTGATAGAAAGGTTTCCAGAGGGTTTATTGAAGGTTTTTTGCATGAAGGGGTTCGTATTCGGTGGTAGAACGAATTCTAGCAGGGTTTCACTTATAGATGGGCTTGGCATGGTTGTTAGAAGGGTTTACACACAAATATTTATTGAATGATGCTGGAGCTTTTGATGAACCAGTACATGTACAGAGGGATGGCTAGGCAGATGGATGGATGAATGGATGGGTGGATGCACGCTTGCATGATGGCGCCGTCTTCCTAAAGCCCCTGCCTCCCACCCGTTCCCCCACTGCCCCATTACCAGACCACCAGCACCAGCACCAGCACCACCCCACCACACCCCCGCCTCACACGTGCCATCTCACGACCACAACCACCATGCCTTCCTGGCACCGACCCCTACCCTGACTGCCGCAATCAAACACTACCAGTACCACCAAGATTATTGCGAGGCCTATGACATTTTCAGCACAACATACCATCCAGGAATCGAAGTCATCCAGCGCAAGGCGTGAGGAGCTATGGAGCCGAAAGCTTCGAGGCCCTGAGGCCCTGGCACGCCATGACAGGAGAATGTGCAAAAGTGTGGCCTGCGAGAGCAACTCCTGGCAATTGCTCGCAGACTGCTCACAGTGCAGCGATGTGCAGCGTGAGCGATGTTGTTTGTGTAAAACCCTGCCTGCTGAGAATGGGCGAGGTGCCCAGCATGGCCAATGGCAGCCGATAGACGACACTGGAGCCTGACATCTTAATCGCAACATTCACTCGGATCAAGTCGGGCCTGCAGCTTCCGATTGCAAGGCTGCAACAATCGCAAATCGCGGGCGTACTCCGAAGCCTCGGCAAACGGCGGCTCGATTCACGGAATTTAAGGGACCAACGACAGACGAGCACGAGAGCCGAATAGTGTAGCACTGTAGCCATTTGTAGCCTTGCCAGGACTGTGGCAAAGCCGCGGCCCCCATGTGTTGGAATGCAATGAATCGGACTTGCCCGGAGGACGCGGCCGCATCCGCACTGTGTAAACAATGGACCAGGAGCCCAAAGCATGCAATCCGCTACAGCTTGGATGGTTGTCAGACAATCCGAGACATGTTTGCATGCACGTGGTGCATGCATTTGCGGACCATGGTTGCGGACTTATATGTGTAAGGAAGCGGCACAGCACAACGCACACTTTTCGGCACAGGGACAAGCCTGGCAAGTGTGCTGTCAGTTGCCTATCCTTTCTTCGGTTGAGTGCTTTACAAAAGCGTGCAGCTCATTCAAGTGAAGGCAAGAACGGCACCATCTCACATCTCACCCAGACAACCAGACCGTTCTCACAGTAAGATGCAGCCAAACCCACAGCTAAGATAAGGCAAGGTAAGAGAGCCCAAACGGTGGGCCAGCGCGCAAAAACCCAACCTCCCAAACCCATACAACCACACCAACGCTTCATCAACTTACAAGAACCGAAGACCATTTCAACCACTACAGGTAGCTCTGTAGAAGATCAGACAAAAATCTCAGTATCACTATCATGCAGGGCTGACGTTCGCTCCACGAAGTGCAATTAAATCAACAAGTTGGGTGGCGCCGTTGGTTCGTTCGAGGTTGTATCACACCCTAGCGGTGCCCTAGCGTCGGGACGACAGGGTAGCACCACAGCGGCTGGTGGGAGAGCCAACTTAGAGACAGGTATCATGTGGCACAGATGGGAAATGAGTGCAACGACAGGTGGTCTTCCGCTCACCCGCCCCATACACATGCTCTCAGCTCCCGGCCAGGACCACGGTATGCCACGAGACCCATGCCGTTCGTTGGACTTGTCGGTCCTGTCCAAACCAGCTTTCGAATGTATTCGAAGACATGGCCTGCTTGTTGCGACCATGAGTTTAAGGCAGAGGAAAAGAGGAGAAGCGCATGGCCCGTGCAGTCTGTGGACGGGCAGATGCGCCCACACGAGGACCCAACGCGAGGTTTATGGATATCGTTTCCTTCGGTTCCCTCCGGCATTTGACATGCGAGCTCACCTCGGCTCCATTTCCTTACCAGTCGGGTGCACTGAGCACGCTTCCTTGAACATGTATGTTAGCCAACCGTCCATTTGTGTGTGTTTGTGCGTGTGTGTGGGTGGGGGGTGGGTGTGCATCCTTCTCCGTTCGTCCGTGCCAAATACCAAATGCCCAGGCTGCGGGGCCATTGTCATTTGCGCCACTGCTTTGCCCTGGCCAGCTGTTGTTGGTCTTGTGCATGTCCACGAAAATGCCACTCGGATTCCAGAAACGCATCTTCATGGAGAAACGATCGAAAGCCGATTCTATGGAAGAGACCGTCTCTTGGACCGCCTGTCAGCCTGTCAAGAAATCCCAGGATCCTCGCGTAGCCACGCGAAGGACACTGCAGAAGCTGCCTGCAGCTTCGCCCTGCAGTGGCGCGGAAGGCCATGCCGCTGCTGAAAACCACTAATTTGAGCTTCCAGCCGGCGTGGTGATTTGGCGATTGCTGCATGCCATCTCTGCCAAACTTTCTTGAGCAACTCCGAGTCGACGCCAACCCCTGCAAACGGAATCCACGTTTCACCAGCAGCAAACCTTCCTCGCGAATTTCCATCTGAAACCCTCCTAGTTGAGGACAAATCCTCTCTCTCTTCTTCCCCGGGGCATGAGGGGAGTGCGAGACCCCTCGGCCTTTTGTCCTCTCTCTCTCTCTCTCTCTCTCTCTCTCTCTCTCTCTCTCTCTCTCTCTCTCTCTCTCACACACACACACCTTGCTTTCTGGCAAGGGTTGGGATGGCAAACAACAGCGGTGCCAATTACCAGCACAGCATCACCCCGAGGCATCAAGAACTTTTTGGCCACCTGAAGTGTGTGGGCATCACTCGTCGTATCTCTTCACAACAAACTGGAAACTGTCGGGACGTCTTCATGTGCGGTGTTCATGGTATGATAGGACGTGACACAAGCCGCGTGGATCGCAGGCCTAGTGCATCTGTCTCCGTTGCGTCCTGCGGCAACCCCAGATCCTTACAAAATTCCCCACAAGTTCAGTGCACCAGTGCACCATGCCGTCCTGGGGCGTGGCTTCAGGGTGAACAGAGCCTCGGCTTGCTGTGTGTAGGACACTCTGGGCGACAAATGCCGACTCTAGGCAGACTGCCATGCGGCGCAGGTGTAATTGGTATACACAACAAGTATGTTAATATTATCAGGAGCTGAGTGCCTCCAGGCCACACCACCATGCCCGCAAACAGTCTTCGAGCAGCTCTGAGTTCCTACGTGCTGGCTCTGCTGAGCTGTGGACAATTACAACTGCACTCGTGCGGTCAGCAGAAGCTCGGTGAAAACGTGTCGTAGCCTGCGGCGCTTTGCAGCCCGATTTACCTCTGCTCGCCGGGTGCATTCGATCGACACGGGTTCAACAACAACACACACGGCACATTCGTGCCCAATTTGTCGAAATCATGCGCGAACGAGGCTTGCGGTCTCCATCGTGCCTCTTGCATAGTTATATTGGAACATCGATGTCGAACAGGCTGCACGGACTTCAAGCTGAGGTTGGAGGGATGGGGATTGTAAGAAAGCTTCGGATTGCGAGAATGCTTCCAAGCTGTCCCAGTTGCAAACTCCGCGAAATTCCTCCGCCTGTCACAAAAGGGTTTATGTAGCCCGAATTGCAATAACAAAAATACGTTCTGTGCTGTTGATGACATTTTCTGTAATCTCGGTGCTGCGACTGTTGCACTATGGGGGTTGGTGTCCCATACACGATGCACTATGCCTATCGCTCATGCTGTTGTGGTTCATGCAGCCCAACAAGACGACAGCAGGGTTGACGAGATGGCCAAAACAAAATGGGCAGGCCAAGCTTGCGGGGGCGGAAATTCTGCCACATAAATCCGGAAAGACTTTAATGCTCCTTGCAGGTGGACTGCAACCTGCCATTCCAATTCCTTTGTCAAGCCGATCTCTTCTTTGACTGAGTCTGACCAGTTAGCTTTTTGTTCTTGCTGCCATCGGATCTTTGGACTGCGCACTGCGCTTGGTATCGCTCGGTCACGTGCTAGGCAGCCTTCGATTAACAAATGTATCAGACCTCATAGCCTCAGGCACAGAAGAAGCTTGAAAGCTCTTGCTTCAGGCATCCGACCAAAACAAAACGGAACAGCAAGGCCGAACCGGGACCGTGGTCAATTGATGTCACTTGGTCCCTGCATGTCCCCCCGAAACCTTGTTTGACTGCGAATTGTCCCGGTTTGCGGCTGCGAACACGGGGACGACATCGGCAGCTGCTTCAAAAAGCAAGAAACGAGTTTCCGGAAGCCCATCTGGGGCCTGCTATGGCGTGCTGCAACGCAGTTCCCAAGAGTTCTCCAGATGCTGCCTAGTATCGTGGTCGCAGGCAGGACGCCCAACACCTTGGCATGGCACTTCCAGGTTGCGCATCCTGACATCGGTTGTCTGCCCAACCTTCTGCCGACTGTCGCAGCACTGCTCGCAAGTGTACGTGCTCGGGAATGTTTCCCTGACAAGTGTGAAGCTGATTAGTAAACGATGCATCTCGCAATAGCGGCGCTTTCTAGAAAAATGCACTCCAAGCCTGACTCACTGCTAGCCATGCATGAAATGCGCATTGCAGCAGCAGGTTGGCAGCTTGCCTTTCGAACAGCGCAGCGGCACCGCCAACTTATGCAAAGAGTCTCTCATGTCGAGAACTTAAGCATGGGACTGGACAGTTGCGGCGGTCCAGCCGGCGGCAAGCATCATACAGTCTTTCAACCGGATGCGTGTCGCCTTTCCCAGGTGGTGCTGGGGACAACAGGTTGATATTGCCATCACGGTAATGATAGTAGCAGCAGCAGAAGTAGTAGTAGTAGCAAGAGGAGGAGCAGCAGCAGCAGCAGGAGCAGGAGCAATAGGAGCAGTAGTCGTGGTGGTAGACGTAGTCGTAGTCGTAGCAGTAGTAGTAGTAGTAGTAGCAGTAGTAATAATACTAATCCTTTCATCCGAATAATAATCCCCCCCGTGATATAAAGAATTCCCGGGCCGAAAAAAATTCCAGTTTCGAGTAGATTCAAAGGCATGTTGCATTAGGGCCCAGGTAAGATCGGCATGAGGCGATTGGAACGAATCCCGGATTACCAGGCTAGGGCACGCAATTGCAAGGAACTCGACGTCCGAGGGAGGTCCGAGGGGAGTCCGGATGTGGGAATTTCAGGGTCTAGCGGTCTAGATTTGGAATTCCCCAGGCTAGGGCCGCTTTCGAAATTGGAACGGCCGGCATGGAGAATGGATATTCAAGGGGATTATTTTGGACTGGGTGCGGATTGGACTCTGCCTGCGGAAAGCCACTGGGTGCCGATTGGTAGCTTTTACTGACACATTAGGTGCTTTCACTCGCCCTGGCCTGGGACTTCCGGAATATTTTGCATGTTTCATTACTGTCTCGATCCGGGACTCCCAGGCTGGGCGAGTGAACACACCTAAAACGTGGCGCGTGGCGCTTTCGGAACTCCCAGGCTAGGGCGAGTAATTGCTGTCTCGAAACAGGAAGTCCCAGGCTAGCGCCTTTTTGCCCTGTCCCATGCGTTCACCTAGATGCGTACCCTTGCCTGGCAGTAGAAATCCAAACTTTCGACTTTCGGGCAATCCAGCTTGAAACCATCCGAAACCCTTCCAATATTAAAATTAAAAATTAAAAGGCCTAAATCATTCTACATATTGTTTTGGGGGGTTATTGAACGGATGAAGGGATTAGTAGTAATAGGCCCCACATACCTCGTTTTCTGCGCAGACGGCGCGGCGAACGGGTCCTCAGTGATGTGCTTCCTTGCAACATGCAGAGTGCGTTCATGTAAAAACAGTGCGCGCTTGGGTTTGAAGCACATTCGGGAGCTTTGTAGGAAAGTGTTAGCAAGTGTGAATGTCTCACGTGCATGTGAACACAGGACGATTCGGGCGTCCGTTTTTCTGATAAGTACGTCGTCCTGAAATCGGCAAAAATTTCGAATTTCTGCTGTTCCGTTTTCTTGCAAATGCGGCTTTTTACAGTGGCAGCAGCCAGGACGTGTCTTGGAACGCCATGCTTGGCGCAAACGAATTTTCCACATCAACCTGATGTTGGCCATTTCAATTTGCGGGTTTCGTCGCAGGCGCAGGACTTACGAATAGAAGTGGTTTCGAAGACTTGCATGAGATGAGATATTGATGATGGTATGGGAGATACTGATGACAGTATGGGGTCTTCACCATCTTCCCCGTCACCATATCGTTGTGCACTATGTTGTGCAAAAACGCACAAATGCTGTAAATACCAATTGGGTATGCTGATCCGGCTCGGGCCTCGGCTTGAACACCTAGGCCTTGTGTCACGACGTTACATCGAGGCATATCCTCATGCTCGACAATGCATCTTGTGCCAGAAAGCCAAACATCCTTCTGCAGTACCCCGTATAAAGTGCCGAAACCCTGTAAACACCAGAGGTTCGGGCAAGCTCGCACAAGGCATGAACGCCTTGTGACAGCGCGTCAATCAACATGGAAGCTTATATGCCACTGACCGATGTAAACAGGCCGTTCTTAGCCCGCCCCCCATCAAGAGGGACGTAGTGCATCGGTTCCATTGCACACAAACAAAGACGGAAAGCATGGAGGGCAAAAAGACGTTCAGGCTGGACTTGTCGGTTCGCAGCAAACATGCGGAGGAGGTCTGGGATCAACTAGTGGACCTGCAAGGCTGTTGCAATTTGTTGCATTTTCCAGTTGAAAGGACTGGGCAACCCACGCGAACGCTTTGGACGGGAACCGCTGGCACACAAGATCCAGCAGACGATCCGATACTGAGGCGCCGATTAGTAAATCAGGGCAATATGTCCTACATGAATGCCACAGTCCACGCACTGCAGTGGATGCAACAAGTTTCCGGAAAGGGCATGGACGCATTGGGTCAAGGCATGGAGTTCTTCACCTTTTTGCATACCGCAGCCGACAACGTGAATCTGATGCAGGTCCAGCAGTGGCAATCACTTGTCGCTGGTTGGGCAGAGGCTCATAGACAACATGACATCGGCGAATTCATGGGATACATCTTCGCGTGTTTGCAACCTCCATGCACTCTTCCGGGGTGTATGGCATTGACGTTGCCTCGCAGATGCTGAGGGAGCAGCATGCTGCCCTTGATGCTCAGTCTTCCTTCCAGACCACAGTGATTGGCTTCCAGGGTGCACAGTCAAGAGATCCTCGAACAATGGCATCATGATCAAGATCGAACGGTTGGCTTCGTAGACTCGGCCTCAGCACACCTCTCCAGTTGCTACGTTTTCGGAACAACAATGGCAACATTCGGAAGATTCGCACAAAGGTGCACTTGGATAACAAAAATCCGGGTGCCGATCTTCACCAATGACAGGCTTGAGACGTCCTGCATAGAGTATGTATGAGTATGTGCTGTAAGCATAAGTGGTGCACCAAGGTCTATCACCACGGTCAAGCCACTACACTGCTACACTACTTCGTGATGCGGAATTCATGGTAGATCGGCGATTCTCATCTCCGAACCACCATTACAACATCTCAGACTGCTATGTGCTGATGTATAAACGTATTGGCGTGGAGTCGTGATTGCGAGTGTTCATCATGTCTCATAGGCCCTTAGAGGAGCTGGTGAACGTTGGAGTCAGCCCAGTGAGGCTGAATGACAATGGCACCAGGCCTCTCGAGAACTGCGAAACTCGTCACCAGGCGGATTCCTTGTGCTGCGAGGAAAGCTGAAAGGTACTCCTACTCCTACTACTACTACTACTACTGCCAGCCACGGCTGCCACTACTACTATCACCACGACGACGACGACTACTACTTACTGAGGGTCATTATCAGGTTGCACTGTGTATTCCACATGCCAACGGTTGGAGCTCTCATCAGATCTGTAATGACGCCCGAACCCCGCACAACCCTACCTCGAAACATCTCCAATGCTTAGCGCGCGATGCCTGCCTGGTCGGGCTTCATTCCGCGGGTACCTCGCCGAGTTGCATAATTATTGCTCGTTTCAGATGCTGTCGCCGAAGTGCAACGACTGTTCATCTTTTGCAACCACAAATCTTTGCAGTCTCTTTCCGTGTTGCATGCTTCTCTGTCACTCTTGCATCCAGAACTGTGTCGCGCAGCCCAAATGCCGTTCTCGATGGTCTAGGTCGACCATACGAGCAGTGTCAGGACTCAGGTCGGCACTAGGTGATCCCAGTGTAGTAGCTTCGGTGCAGCGCTCAGAATCTCGGGTAGCCGGAAGCCAATTGCATCTTGTTTTCCTTGCGGTGTACTCTGAGCTACACCTACGTTGCAGCAGCAGCTTTTTGCCTCTCGCATGGTCTAGGTCGGCCCGCCTATGTCAATTAGTGCCTAGGTCGGCACGGATCATCTCATGACCAGACAAGTACCACCCGCGCTTGATGTGTATGCCTTGGAGAACTACTTGTTGGTGACCTGTCTGGCTGAAATCTTGGGATGGCAGCAAATGCAAACGCCACCTGCCATTAGTATGGCATCTCGGAACAACGTCTTTGACTATGCCCAAACAATGCTCGAACCGCTGCATTATCGGGAGTTTGTCAACTACTCGGAGTCCCTGGCCATCCATTCCCCTATGCCGGCTGTGCTGCCGCCACCTGACCCACTGACTGGTCGTGGCTGCAGCCAAGCAGATAATCTTGCCTTGGCGTTCCTCTTTGAAGGGAATTGTGGGAATCTGTTCGACTGACAGTGGCGGTTCTCGATTTCGAGACCCCGAGGCAGGTCATGATGCAGCGGACCAAGTTGCACTTTGCAGACAAGTTGGACTTGAAGCCAAGTTGCAGTTATTACATAAATGACGCATTATGAATTTAGGGAGGGAGCCATTGTATCCAAGTTGCATGCCAGTATTTGAATTCGGAATTAGGAATTACATGCAGGAATTGCAACGTCCATATGCACGGTCTAATCTACCTGTTGGGGACGCAACTCAAAGAATTCCGTGATCTGAGTTTGGGGATGGTTCGGAACAGGAGCGGCTGGCTGCGGGAATCTAAACAGTAGTTGGTGTAGGCTTGGTGCAATCTCAAGCGATTTGAATGGTGTGAAGGCAACCAACACCAACCTGCCCTGAGGCGGATCCCAAGGGTCTGTGGCGTGAAGAACACTTCGGGCAGGGAATACGAAAGGTTCGCTGATCGGCTGAATGCGCCCTTTAATTTAGTGTCCCTGAAAGTTCCGAAGGACATCACCTAGTTCACAAGTGACCCACAGATGACCTCCTGTAACGTCTGAAATCAAGACCACAAGACTAGAGTGACTAGAGCCAAGGTTAGTGGTCACGGTGTGGCCCACGCAATGAAACAGTTAAGCTGCAACGCGATGCTAGTGAACATGAAATCTGGTGCTATTTGCCTTACATACGTTGCAAGCACTTTGGTGGAGAGCGGCAGACACTCAGAGAACTGCGTGGCTTGTTCCCGAGTGCGCAGCAGAAGGGTTCTCCTTTGAAGGTGGGGGGTCTGGGGGTTAGGAGTTGAGGCGAAATGCTCGCGCAGCGTTCGCAGGAAGCTCCAATGGACGCGCGTCCCCACGGCGTTCGAATCAGGCAAGCTAAGGGGGAAATCGCCACAGGTCGCCGCCGCCGCCGCCGCCTGATTTCGTGCTGTTATAAGGGGATTTAAGGGGAAACTCCGAAGTCGCGCGTCGCCGCGGCGTTCGAATCAGGCAAGAAGGGGGAACTCCACCGCCGCCGCCATGTCTTGCGCACGGAACTCCGTGCGCC